AGGTGTTCAGAATGGTTTGATCCCTATCCAGCTGAATTCCTGAGAGGAGACGAAATCCAGGTCTCCTACTCCTCCGCCATCTTGCTCCGCCCCCTCTACTGGCAAACTGTTTTAACATTTTTTTTTAATCTCCTTTGATTCTGAAGGCCCTGTAGGATCTTGTTGGCCTCGATGTAACATACTATGAACACTACATACGTGGTTAAATGCAATTGGAAGAAAACAAATACATGAGGATTTTGGGTATAGGAGAAGATGTTGTTTGTTATTTGGTATAGATCCTGGATAAAAGGGCATTTACTGGGGCACCTGGCTGGCTCAGTCAGTAAAGGATGCAACTCCTGATTTCCAGGTTGTGAATTCGAGCTCCATGTTAGGTGTAGGAGTTTACTTAAAAATAAAATCTTAAAAAAAAAAAAGAGCATTTACTATGGCTTTAAATTCTAGATTCAACCTCACTGCCAGATGAGGAAATCACCTCATAACGAAGGATGACGTATCACAGAAGGTTAACTCCCCATATTTCCAGTTGACAAGCCCAAGTCAATTCCCCACCTCTTCCACGAAGCCTACCCAGGTTCCCAGCCACAGCCTTTCCTTGCGCTCCTGGAGCAGCGCAGTGGTGCCCTCTTCTGGCACTCACCATTCACGAGAGATCTCTGTTCCACTGAGAGTTTCTGGCCATAAGACCAGAATTGCTTAACCTCTGCAATTTGTGCAGCCCTTAGCACACCCATTTCAGTGAATATTTCTCACATCACCAACATTTCTCAAGTACTGAAGACTCATTTTGCTTTTCACAGATTTAATTTTTTTTTTCCTTTAAAATTTTTAATGGCCAGGAAATGGTATAGAATAACTGCCAAGTCACATAAATTAACTTTTTTGTTAGGTTTGTGATCCCGGAAAGAACACTCTATCAGTCAATGCAAACTGCATGGGAATTTCATCAGTGGTTGTCTGGGCATGTGACTGAGTGTGGGCCATGGACCCATCTTTACATGGTCCAGAAAAAAAGGCGACTGCCATGTTTGGCAGGCTTCAGCTCTCCTTCTATCTCAGGGTTGGGCTCTGGTCTTGCTCTTGAGTGATAGGGATTCTCCGGTAAAGGTCGATCTGTTTTCACTTTGGTGACCTTGGACAGCTCCCCCAGGTCAGGTCGCACCCAGCCCAGTTTGTCCAGCACACACTCGTCAAACTTAGCCTGCTGTTTGCGACAGCGACGAAATAGCTGCAAGCTGGAATAATCAATGCAGGTCCAATAGTCTGTAAAAGGCTCCGCACAGTGAAGCTTTATCTGCCTGAAGAAGTCCAGAGCACACTTGTTGACGAGCTTGCCTTCCTCTAAACACCGTCTGCGGTCTTTATCTTCCCAGCAGCAGAGCATGAACTCCTTGTTGGGCTTATCACACTGAACTCCATAGTGATGGGCGGCAGCTTTGAGCACCGAAGAACTGACTTTCACCTCCTGCACTTTCAGATCCTCCAGAGTAGGCAGCTCCACTATCCCCGGCATGATGGCGGTAGCCCCAAACCCGAGGAGGCTCCCTCAAACGCGTCGCCCCCGTCTCCTTGAATTCCCCTTTCGACCGCCATCACAGATTTAATTTTTAAAAATTTTTTTAAATATTTTATTTATTTCAGAGAGCACGTGCATGCAAGCAGGGGGAGGGACAGAGGGAGAGAGAGAGAGAGTGTCAAACAGACTCCCCACTGAGTGCAGACCCGACAGGGCTCCATCTCACGGCCCTGAGATCATGACCCAAGCGGAAACAAAGAGTCAGCCGCTCAACCTACTGAGCTACCCAGGTGTCCCTAATTTTAGATTTCTTAAGGCTTTCATAGATAGGGTAGAAAACAAGGATCTTATATTAAAGGAAATGAAGATAAGTTGAAGGAAATAAACAGGCACAGGAGGATAGAGAGCAAGACAGAGACTCAACCAGACAGTAATTTCCTACAGTCTCCAAGGCCCCAAAAGAGCATCCCATAGTTGGCTCTGCCCTTTCCTCAACCTATTCCTCATAAAATGATGGTTCACCTATTTTTCATAAAATGATAGTTCAAGTGGGGCAGGGGAAGTGCTAAGCAATTCTGTGTAAATGTGGCCCAGGTCTTCATATCTCCCTCCATCTCTCCATCCTGAGACTCAGAAGCCAATTCAGTAAGTTCTTCATTAAGCACAGAAGCCCTCAGAGTCAGAGGGATTCCATCCCACCACCACTGCCTTTCTATTTTCCTTCTCTTTCCTCAGCACTGCACATTAGGACCCAAGCCCCAGCAGACACCAGCGTGGTCCCCAGCACTTGGGATGGGCACGGGAGTTAATAGTCCTTATTCTGCTTTCTCACAGCTGCTTTTCCTATTGACTATAAACATTCACAGTTAAAGAGACATTTCCCAAGGACTTTGTTCCAGCTGGTGGTTTTCATAGGATGCTCCAGAGGACACATCAGCCGGAAGGAAATGTGACCAAGCCGAGACTCAGAGGCGTGGAAGACCAAGCTCAGCTGACTCATCCTGGGGCTCCTGGGGCTCAAGTGTCCCACCCTCTCTCGCCACACTGCCTGACATCCCCCTTCATGCACATGCCTTCCAACACGAAGTGGCTATGATGGTGAGGAGCTTGCTGCAGGGAAGAAAATCAGCTTCTGCCTTCAACTTTCAGAAACCTTGAGAGCCTGTGTTTGAAGTGGTGTTCCGATGGGGAGTGCACAATTAGTACCAAACAGGGCGTGGGAACTAGACAGATGCAAGACTCCAGGTCTCTGCAACACTGACCCATGTCTGGCCCCTGGGCAACACCTGCTACTGGTGAACCAGCTTCATGGGGAATTTGTCAGTTAATTATCTGGAATCAGTTTAGACTTCCACATAGCTCACCTGTCTCTGTCCTGACTCCTGGGAAGGCCCCTGTTAGCCCAGGTGTCCCCCCAAGGTCATGTGGTTTATCGTGGAAAGGCTGGCTTCTTTCTTGGGCAACTTGAGAGACTTGAACAAGATCAGAACAAGTTTGTCTGATATCCACTCGGAAACCCCAACAGAGCCCTCACCTGGATCTTTGATTTCTTTTTGACAACCACAGGGGATGACAGCATCTAGGATATGGGTCCTGTAGCAGGATGGCACCGTCACACAAAGGAGGAAACATGGAAAGGTGTGCCTGAGGGAGTTAGAATCAATGGCATCAGATAGATGATCTCTGATAAGCTCTATAAGTCAAACATTTAACTGTAAAATGCATATAAATAAACTTAAGAGCGACTTAATTATAAATATTTCACCGCATAACAATCAGATTTACTAACATACCTTACCACAGCATAATTGTCTTGGCTAAAATAATTTTCAAGTAATGTTTTATAACTCTTTAACAAAAATAACTTTAAAAGTACGATTGGTCTTCTGTAGCTTTTGTGGTGTTAAGTGTTCTTCAGAATCTCTCTTACGATTTGCAAAGCCTCTTAATATAAGAATAGTAACCCTCTATGATATGTGCTAAAAATACTTCTCCCCTTCGTCTTTTCGTTTGCCCTATCATGCTTTCGGTTTACAGAGTTTAAATTTTTATTATTCAAATCAGTATTCTTCTCCCATTGAGTTGTTAGTTTGAGAAAGTTCTTCCTTATCTGGAGATCACATTCTTATCTAAGAGTTTGGTCAATGGGTAGAATTAATTAATTAATTTATTTATTTATTTATTTATTAGAATTTATTTTAATAAATGATGGGAAGTAAAGATCCAGCTTGTCTTCTGAAGAGTCTACCATTTGGACCAAAATTAGAATTATGTGAATCTGCTGCTCACACCCTGTCGGCTGACTCCCCCTCTCCCCTTCTCTGGTGGGTGAGAAGTTTGCTTTCACTCAGGCTTTCCCATAATCAAACAGAATCGCTTATCTCAATCAGGCAAAATATAGGCTCCTTTTCACTTAGTAATCAGGGCATTTCTAGACATTCCTTTGCAGTTTCATTAACTTCATGTACGTTTTTAATTACTATCATTCAACACCTTCCTTGGATCCTCAGAAATGAAAAGGTGTTTTGTCTGTATGTATTTTCACATAATACACAACCAGCCACATAGCAGTACCATGTTAACTGGTGGCTAAACTTGACAACCCCTCACTCTCTTATTCAGCTGCATTTTCCAAAGCCATGCTTATGAATTCCCTTGAATAAGCATGTACCAGGTGCTGAGCTACAAATAAAATGAGAAACCAACAGCAAAGATGACGACATTTTTTTACCCACAAAAAAGTTTCAATCAAGTTTACAAACTACAAACTATATTATTTGCCTACTGCAGTACAACAGATGAGTCCAAAACCTAAAGGCTTAAAATAACGCTAAACATTTATTGTTCCTCGCAGTTCCGACGGGCCAGGAATCCAGCAGCAGCTTGCCTGGGCATTTCCGGCTCAGGGCCCTCTGGACATCGCAGTCAGGTGTCGGCTGCAGCCGGAGTCATCGCAAAGCTTTCCTGGAAATGGAGGCTCTACTTCCAAAGAGGCTAACTGGTATGGCTAACGAGCTGGTCCTGACTGTTGGTGGGAGGCCTCAGTTCTTCTACGGGAGCCTCTTCACAGAGCAATGTGAGCATCCTCACAATATGGCGACCGGCTTCCCCCAGAGCGAGCAACCCAAGAGAACATGATAAACACTGCAATTCAGTTTATGACCTCATCTCAGAAGTTATCTTCCTGCTTCTGTTATAGTATATTGGTCACACAGACTAGCCCTGATTCTATGTAAGGGTGTGACAACAGGAGACAACAATCACCAGGAGCCATGTTCAACAGGAAGGGAGCAGGGAGAACACAGGCTTTTCCTCCATTCCCTCATCTCTGCAGTGGAGATCATCATGGCACTGACCTCGCCTGGTTTTATTGAGATGGAGGAATGCAGTGATATGATCATAGCGTCCAGCACACAGGGGGTAGTAAATAGTAACAAACATGTATCTGTTTATTGATTTAATGGTCACTAATGGTTTTATTTATCCCTCACACATCCTGAAAAGGATAACACAATGCAAACATCAATCCTCTGAACTCAACTTTAAGTACCCAAATTCTACAGTTGATACACACACAGGAGTGCACGCTCTTGGTGAAACCATTTATTGCTTTAATTACCTTTATGAAATCTGTTAGAAAGGGCAAGGGATCCTAAGCAAACAAGAGGCATTATTGGCTGGATGAAGAAATATCTAATAAATCCCAAGGCCAGAAAGTAAAACCAAGCTTCCAGAAAACCAGTATGGGGAACTAGGAAGTTAGAAACAAGTTACTCATCTTTCAGGAACCACATGGTCTTTCAGCTCTGCCTGCTTCTTCACTCTCCCCATCTCCCTCTGTCCTTCTTCAACTCAGGTATCTGCAGAGATTAGCAACTCTGAGTCCAGTTCCAAATTTCCAGGAAGAAGACCCTGATTCATTTCTTTTGTCCATCCCTGACCCAAATTTCTCTTATGGGAGAGTGGGGACAGCAATTTCTTGATCCACTGCCCACTCACCAGGATGTGGGGCTACAGACTGTCTTTTAAGAAGGAGTGTAGGAGGGTGCCTGGGTGGCTCAGTTGGTTGAGCGACTGCCTTCGGGTCAGGTCATGATCCTGGAGTCCCGGGATCGAGTCCCGCATCGGGCTCCC